ATCGATGAATTTTCTTTCGACAATTCCTCTACCATTTTTCACGAAACCCAGCTGATCTTCTACGGCGTACAGGGTAAAGATTTCTCTGCACGCCAGCACCCGCGATCCGCCTCTCCGATCGTCGGCGCGCGGTCCTCGGTAGCGCAGTCGGTAGCGTATCGGGCTACGGACCCGAGGGTCGTGAGTTCGAATCCTGGGAGCGACGCGTGATTTCGGCTAGAATTGAATGATGTGGATTCTTGAATGTTTGCATAATCAATTATTAATGGCTAATTGAATGTATCTGCCCACTTATCGGCCCCTAAAACCTGTTATTTAAGGAATTTAAGAAATGAATGTCACGTGCGCGTCATGACTGCCAACCATAAGCGTTACCATATTCTAGTTTGAACTAACTTTTTGCTAGTCCCGACCACATATAGTAGGTTTTCTAGTTGTTATACTAGAAATTCCTACCAAAGTTCGTCCTACCCTTCACTCAATATACCCTGGTACAGCCTGCACAGTACGAAACTTAGCCTCAGCTACCAGGTCTAACTAAAGGCACCTTCCGGTCAGGGTCCTACAATCATCACCCGCAATGTTTGAGCCCCTTACGCGTTCCCAGCCCCACCTACCGATCCATGGTCCGCTGCTAAGCGTGTGTGACAGCTCCTTCCCCTCCTTAACAGTCCGTGTTCCTCCTCCGTGAGCTCACAGGAGTGCTGGCTGTCCTCAGAGTGATAACGTCTCACAGAGAGTCCTGGCTCCTTACAGAGCCCTCGCTCCTTGCAAAGTCCCCGCTCCGCACAGAGGCTATTCTCCTCACAGAGGCTCTGCTCCTTACAGAAGCCACAGAGGCCTCGCTTCTCACAGAGACACTGGGCACACATGGCTCTGACAGCCGATCCAGCGCCACTCCCAGTCCCGACTGTCCTATCTCACCGGCAGCTGTCGCGCCGCGGGTCTCTCCCAGACCGCCCCCTCCCCGCGTCTTCGGTCACCGCAGCAGTACTATACCGTCCCCTGCGAGCGGTACGGAAAATCCAACCCAGTATCGGAAACAGGCCCCAGCGGGTCTGTGCAGCCGGGCCGCGTCATATCCTGGGGCTGCGCCGGTCAACAGACTTGGGAGGCGCCAATGGCGGCGGGTGGTATCTACATTTGGGAGTTTCTCACGGCCGGAATGGCCCGAGGGATATACCAGGCATAATCTCCAATAAACAGCTCAAGACTGGGATTATCCGATATCGCAGTGTAGAAATCGGAATACGAAGGTAAAACCAACTTGAACTACACAGACTTCCCTGTCTTCCACAGTCCCCACTATCTACCAAAATAAAGACTCCCGAGTCCCGTACCACGCACCTATGCACCACTGCAGATGACAAAGCACCACACCCACTAACGGACAGTCCGTGTCAGCCCGCCGGCACCACCCAACCATCCCTCACCCTGTGACGGGGAAGAGCCACGGGTCACGGGGCCAGGTCACCGACAGTGGCCGGCCGGCACTCACCTGTCTCTGGACACGCGCCAGCGCCAGGGCAGGAGGCGGCGGTCGAGCAGGAGGCTGTCGCAGTGACGGACGCTCGTGCCGCTTGAAGGCGTGGTGCCGCCGGAGACCGGGAGGGGAGCCCTGTGGTGGCGGGAGGGCTGAGTCAAGTACAACAGAGACACAGGGGTATCTTCACCACGTACAGGTGATGATGGTGAACAAAACGTATGACATGAAAATGTGAAACACGCAAGATTTTACGAAATGAGCACCAATCGGGCTAGATGCCACTATCCAAAGAACATCCAAAGAGCAGACCAACAATGTGAAAACTCGGCCTTCTCAACCCTAGCCATTGCTCTGCACTACGTGGAAGCTATCAACAAATGAGTCCTAAGATTATGTTCCGCTAATAAGAACACTGAGTATCAAACAGTACCCACAGAAGACAAACTTCGAAAAAAATGTCTAATGAATTCATGTAGCTCGTCCACATCCGCCAGTTTCTCCCCCCCCCTTTCGCCTCCCCGCTCATCACATCACGGCGTCCACTTACCGCCGAGCTGGAGGCGGAGACCGGCCGCGTCTTGGCGTTCGGCAGCCGCTCGTACACATGCTCCCGGCTCAGCGTTCCGTACAGGGTCTCATCACTGGCCGTCCTCCGCAGGGGCGAGGACACTGCGTATGGCTCCACGGGCCCCTGGCGCGCCGGCCGCCGGTTCCTGCCGGGAGGCGGTGGCGGCGGCGGGGACGGGGGCGGCGGCGGCAGCTCGCGTCGCGGCACTGTCGGCTCAGCGTACACGTGCTCGGCTGGGGATGGAGAGTCTCCTGAGGGCGCCGGAGGGTCTGCCGGTGCCGGCAGCGGCTGGAACGTCTCCAGGCGACCGGACCGGCGCCGGCCCAGGTCACTCGGCTTCCGCGCGATGGCCGGCCGCGGCCCCGAGCTGCTACGGCGGATGGTCACTGTTGTGGCCGCGGCGACCGGCACGACCCCCACATCCGCTCCTCCTGCCGCGGTCTCGATCCCGGCCGCGGAGCTCTGACGCGCCTGCACGTACACGTCGTGAGCGAAGGTGCGTGGTGGCTTCCGCGGCGGCGGCCCGGTCGGCAGGGGAAGCGACGAAAAGTCCTCGGTGAGACCTTGTGCCGCCGCCGTCGGTATTACCGCGCGCCGGTTCAGCCTGCCCGGCTTCACTGGTCCGTTGTTATTGTCAGGGTCCTGTGCCGATTTCACGGGGGCACGCACTGCGGGGGTATGGTTCACCACGGACACATGGTTCACAGGGGGAGCCGTCACCGGCCGGGGCGCGGGGTCAGCGGCCGTCACACGGGTCAGCGGCCGATGCGCTACTCTACTACCAGTCACCTCACCATTCGTCTGGCCGGCCTTCACTGGCAGCGGCGGCGACGGCGAGTCCTTGCTCTCGGCGGCCCGCTCCGCCGACGGTCGCCGCTCCATGTCGCGCACGCGGTCGCTGACGCGCGCCTTGAGCGCCGCATTCCGTTTGAGCACGGCCGGTCGCTCGCGCAGCAGCGGGCTGACGTGCGCACTGACCGGCCGCGAGCGCGTCAGCCCGATGCGTCCCTCGCTGTTGCGGTGTCGGAGGCGCGGCTGGAGCGGCGCCGTGGTGCGGAAGCTGGCCGTGCGGCGGGCCACCTGGCCGCGGGGCCGGGGGCCGGCCGGAGCCGCGCTGTCCGACACGCGCGTCTCCTCAAAACGCTTCATCATCTCCTGCACACTCATGGAGCTGTCAGCGGTGGTGGCTAGGGCATGTCCAGCAGCCTCCTCAGGAGCTTAGCAGGCCTGGGGGTGAGGGGACATTTCAGTAAGATGAATGTAAAGGTACTGGGTCCAGATTGGCCAAATATGTTTGAGACTCCATGCTTACTGGACAAATTGTTTAAATCATAATTGCTCCAAGCTCAATTGAGTTTTTAAGAGAATGAATTGACAGTAGTTGCATTCAATGCAACTTAGAGTAATTTATCACGCCTTTGTAAAAAGCATCTTTGGAAAGATACCTAGGTAGGTGTCTTTTCAGTTGGTCAAAGCAGATGATGTGCCTATCAATCATTAATCAGCTAGTTATGTAATTAGATGCTAGTTTTTCACTAGTAGTAACTCATATTTTTTTTTAGTCACAGTTCAAAAGAGGGTTAGCCAGTCTTCCTTCCTTATCAAATATTAATTGTCTTCCAGATAGGCAACTAAACAAACTAAGGCCAACATCCTTTCACCATTTACCTATGGAAACCCTATAATTTAACTTAAAAATTATGCACAGAAAATAAATGTTCTACATAAAATCTGGAAGACCACATCAAAATTGAGCATTTTGTAGCTTGTGTAGGTACTCATTCATGTACCAAATCCTGAAACAACAATGAACAAGGCCTACTTTAAAGAGAACCCAACTTGAACTGTTCGTCGGCATTCAGCCGTAATGAAGGATCTTATCTCAAATTTACAGTTTATATGAAAGCATGACATTAAACTTTCAAAAACAAAGCTTCTGGATTTGAACAACTGAAATGAGTTTGAAATTGAAACAGCATTTGTACCTATCTTTTGAAACACTGATTCAGTACGATTGATTTATTGAAACAAGAGCATTTTAACCCTTCACCATTGCGATACTATTGAAAATATTTTTGAATCACATTACGAATTAATCAAAATTGAGCTTTTGCAAGGTAAACATTATGGAAACGGTTCAGTACGGCGTGCTCAGAATGAGAACTGGAACAGCAAAACTTCAGAACTGAAATTATAATTCTCTGCACTCTTTGAATGGTAAAATTCCACTCAAAATGAAACCCTGATTCTTACCTGTGATAGAAAAGAACTTCAAGGGTGCAAAATGCTGAAGCTAAGCAAAAACCCCGGGTCGAATGCGACACCCATCCACAACCACCAGCCGCGCGAGACTGAGAGCGGTTTGTTGTGGTTCGGGGGCGGAGCAACAAGTGTAAAAAGCACGAGACCACCAAATTGAAATAGCGCGCCAGATACCGCTGTCCAGGGCGATAAAATACCCGTCGACATGGCAAGCACTGGCAAAAATAGGCATCGGTTTCATTTTTCAATAAGTTTCATCATTTAGGATGCAGAAACGCTTGTATTCTAATCAGAAAGAGCACAAGAAACCATTAAGGGCACCATGAATTATGAGCAGAATTCCCTGAGCAAAATTACAGCTTCCCCACCCTGGGCTACTCACTTTTCCTTGTCCGGCAAGTTCAGGTTCTCTCTAAGTCTATAGTCTATGATGTGCTCGGTATTCTTCCCGTAGCTTCAAACTCACCGTCTACCTCTAGCTAGAAGTCCTGAAGTCTATCCAGCACGCTCAAGCCTGGCCTACAAATTACAATGCCGGCACCAGACTGTATCAACACGCCGACTGGCCCGCTGAGTCGGCCCGAACCCAGCGCCGACGGACGAGCGCCGTATCAGAGCGCACATACCACATACACCCACTCCAGCGACCCATCCTGACTCAGCCGGTCGGGGCAAAGTGCGAAAACTGACGCACAACTGTATTAACCATCACTGCTCGACGCATACACGACCCAATAAAAGCACTACGTCTACAGTCACACGGCAGGTAACAGGGCCCATTCAACATCACATGGTGACTACAAGCTGGCAGGCATAATGAAGTGAAGCGTTAGCGTAGTTCCTTTGGAAGTTATGGGGAAACATCACAGACGTTGAAGTCATTAAATGGAGATCCGATGAGTATGTCACAACCACAATTTAACATTCCCTAGCAACAATAAATATTATCCATTGACTATCAGATAAGCGAGTCTATGACGGCCGCTGTCAGCTCGCCTTCTTCTTGGGCGACCTCTTCTTTTGCGACGGTCCTCGCTTTTTCGGCGATCCTTTCTTTGGTGACTTTTTCTTTTTGGGCGATTTTCGCCGTCGTCCGCTGTTCTCCGTTCGGAAGGTGATGCACTGAAACAGACAGATGCCGTCAGCGGTGGTAAGTTAAGGCCGATACCGATTGCAGGGTCACCGCCACTGGACAAGGTATGTCGGGCATGGACCATCCAACTTGTCAGATAATTAGTAGACGAATACGTACATTATTACTACCGCATGTTTAAGGAAACTGACATAAGTGCTTGGTGTACGAGTATAATCTATGTAAAACCATCGCTAAAAATGTCGAAAATGCCTGAGGAATGAGGATGATGCCAACGCAAAACAAATCAAATTTTAAAGTGGACAAACGTAAAACCCGGCGAGCATCGGCCTAAATTGTTTGAAACCACGCTTATCTAGTACCTGTGCAAATATCCGATAAGAGAAATGAGAATCGATGACGGTATAAACCAGTGGTGTCAATTTCAGAAGTCCAAAGTCTGTCCAATGTCCAATGCTTACGTCGATTGTCCGTCCAAAAATGTCCAAGCCAGCCATTTGTCCAAAGATGTCCGACACCTACGCAATAGTTTACACTCAACACAGTTATTCAATTTGCTTTTCATGTACCGTTACAAGCCAAAAGTGTTAATCATATCGAAAGCTGAGCTTTCTAATAGCCAATCAATGTTAAACACGACTACTTTTCAAAAATGTTGAGGTGTAGCAAGCGATTGTCCAAAGTTGTCCAAAGCCTGCTGCCATTGTCCAACCGAATTCCGAATTGGACATTGGACAAAATCGGAATTCCAAAGATTCAAGTTCCGATTGACACCACTAGTATAAACGGAGCACCGTCACGGCAACGCTAATAAAAGCTGTGCTAAAACCGGAACGCGTATCGAACGTTCGTGACGTAAAAAAACGAGAGATAGGGAAGGAAACAGGGTATTACAATGGTAACTACTACGAGAAGGAAATACTTTAAATATGTGTTTTCGAGATCTTTCCTAAGAAGGGCTACCATAAACTTGCTCTTTTGAGGGAACATCCCCAGTGTCTACGAAGCACAAAACACTACCAAAGTCCCCAGGATTGGCAGACATCGGTCGTCACCTGTTCGTCAAGGAAGTCCATGAGCTGCGCCATGCTGAGTTTGATGCCGTTCTGTCGCAGGTCCCTGTGCAGACTCTCCAGCCAGACGGGCTCGTAGGTGAGGACCTGGTGGTACAGCTCCGGCCGAGACAGGATGTAGGAGCGCAGCCGCTCCGGCAGCGCCGCCGCGGACGCTGCAGACAGACAGACATGGGGAGTCAGACAGACAGACAGACAGACAAACAGACAGACTAGGAGAGTCAGACAGACCGACAGACGGACGGACGGACTGACAAAGAGATAGACAAATAGACAGACAGACAGACAGACAGACAGACAGACATAGGAGAGTCAGACAGACCGACAAACGGACAGATGGTCGGACTGACAAAGAGACAGACAGACAGGCAGACACACATCCGGAGAGTCCGACAGGGTCGCAGACATGGCGCAGACATTGAGCGCAACAGAGTGAGGGCGATCTGTGACGAGTGATATCAACGCCAGGCCTCGCCATGCTATAAAGGATACTGTGCTGCGATGCGGCGGAACCTTGCAATTCTCGACGTGAAAAGTCGCATCGAACTAAGAGTCCGTCTGTCACCCGTGGGTACGAACAACGGGAGACAGGAAGTGCACCAGCCATTTCCGGAATCGGTGGCGATTGCATGTCGGAATTTTTTAGTCCGCAGGCGGTTTTACGCCCGGTGCTTGTGCACCGAGACTCGAGGTCGAGAGCCGTCTTTGCTTACAGCTCGGACGATTTGAATTTGATAACATTGTATGCCTCATTATCAATTGATAACAATCAGTCGTCAAGCCGCACTTCAATAGGTAGCTTATCAGCTAAGCCATCAACAATCATTTTTAGGCAAGCTGACTACCAACGCAGCTGTGCCTTTGAACCGCATGGACATGCAAACGCTTTATCAATATCACAAGTCTTTTCTTACAGGAAAGAGCAGTCCATTTTCCCCAATCTGTCAGTAGCTGCCCGTCCACAATCCATCAGTCACTACTGCCTTCCCTGGTCGCGCTGTGAGTCGCCCACTCCAATGCATTGTGCGCCACAGCCTGTCCTTGGTCAGCTCCGAGTGACTACGCCGCGTGTGTCCACCGCGTGCGGCAGCTCGCCGTGTCGAGCCGGGCTGCACAGCGCTGTACAGTGCAGACGCCGTGCACGACCGGCCGACCGGACGGGCCCCGTATAACCGTATATAGCCACGGCGGGCAGCGCTGAGTGGAGCCGTGGATTGTGGAGGTCGCGGTCAGGGTCGGAATTGGGGTCAGGATTGGAATGGAACGGGGCTGGGAGACATCGGGGAGTAGGAGACACCGGAGAGAGGATGAAAAACGGGATAGGCCAGGCGGGGAGATAGATGATGGGTCAACTGAGGCAAGGGAAAGGAAGAGTCAATGAGGAGCGAGATAAACGACGGAGGGACTTGACGGCCTGAGAGGGATATGATGAATACGATATACATTATGGTCGTGACGACTGGAGGCAAACATTAATAACCGGAAAACATAACAATCCCGCCAAGTGCAGTCGATACAGCCGGGTTCCATGGTTTGGCTGTGGGTACAGCTACCACCCCTCACACTGACACAGAGGACACACTGCGGACACAGAGGGCGTGCAAGAATCGTATACTCGTGAATTGGGCTCTACGAGCAGGCAAATGGAGAGCAGTGAGCTCCTGTCCGGCCGCTGACCAGCCGGCACATGGCCGGTCATTACACACCACGTCAGCACCCTGACCACCTGTCCACACTGACCAGCGCACACTGGGCCGATCGCCAGGTCTAGCACGACATGGGTAAAAAAATCGAACTTTGGGATGTGCAATGAAACCTATACCAATTTGTTCAAAAAAGATCATACTACATTGCTGTGGTCTTTGTTTTCCAACACAATTGCTATTTCATGGCGAAAACTCAGCTTAAACACGAACTTCGGAATCGTTTGGACCGAACTCGTCCCCCGCACTCTTCGACAACGTATCTTTGATCCACGAAAACAATCACAATTTGAGGAGGAATTCCACATTTATATACCTCAAACGATAGCTCCGGGTCTGCAGAACACACATAACCACATGAAAGTGGCGAACTCTTACTTGGTTATGATGTATTGGCACCGCAAAGATTTAAAGACGAAAATATAATTTCACATAATTGATGTCACACACAAATAGGCTTTTAAAAAAGTACCGCAGAGTACCGCTTCGAAAATTTCGCTACATGTCAATGATTCATTGCACTACAAGATCCAACAGTCATTTTTTGCGACTTTTTGCGACTTTGGATGTAGCAGCCAAATATCAACCCGCGCCGGGCCGGTGCTCGGCGTCAAACGCGCCGGGCCGGGAGGTGTTGATTGAACACTCCCCTTCTAACTCGGCTCTTGGGCCACATAGCGACACGTAGTAAGTGGCATTCGAAAGAGCGCCCGAAATTCCAGATGGAGTAATTAGTCATTTCTAGGTCAGGTCAAAGGTCACGTCACCAGAGGTCATCAAAGGTAAAATGTTGCCTATATCAACATTTCTCGAAAACCGGCCCTTACCTCGGGGACCAATAGAGCTACATCGTCGCGGAAAAGTGCATTCAATTGCTCTTTTAGCGGTCTTTCTGAAATAAGCCCTCAGACTTGGCTTAAACCTCGCCCCTAGTGGTGTTTTTTCCAGCCGTGAACGTATAGAAGGGGTCCGTTGGACCCCCCCCCGCCGTTTCGCCCCTGATCGAGCTAGAGCTTCGCGGAAAAGACGAGCGTGTTGCCCGTGACAAGAGGAAGCTGATGATACCCAATTGTAAGGTCCTAGGTCATCGGTTGACCTTCCAGGTCAGGTCAATGACCCAAAAGTCGGGAAAATCGGGGCCTGTTAGAACGTCGTAAAGGGTGGCTGCTATGGGTTTTTTGGGTGCTGATCACGAATATGTTATTTACTATCATAGATGATGTCTTCATACATTTAGGCCAGGTCGGTTCAGGTCAGGTCAGGTCAACCAGTAAGGGTTTTGCCGGGTATTTGCAGTAGGTGGCAACCGCCTCTGACAGCTTTGTAACATGTTACGAAGGCACCAAAGCTACATAGTAAATGTTCAAATGGTTGCTAGATTCGAATTCAGCACCAAAAACTAGCCTAGAAACATGTAAAACTCGAAAAAATGAACCAAGGTCATCAAAGGTCAATGACCTTACCTGACCTTCTGGTGACCTTGACACCCACCCTAATGCATGGGAGCAACATAATATCCCATGTTTGAACGCTTTAAACCAAGAAAAGACTGCGAACCCGCGGCTAATGCGAGGCGACATACGCTGAATCGCGATTTCGGCCAAACATGGTCTCGAAAGAAGGTCACAGATCAAAGAACATTAAGGTCAGGGTCATGAAATTTTCAGGTTAGCTGTAAAAGTAGTTATCGCGAGGGTACTGAAAGTTTCGTTGCGATCGGCTGCTTTTTACGCGAATTACTCGCGAAAAACCAAGGCCGTTCCGTTCGAAGATTCAGGCCCTGTCGCGCTAGAATGGCATATCGGCCCACTGTGCAGCGGGGGGTCGGTGTCCACCTGCCGTTCGTGCATTCCGTCAGAGCCCCGCGGCGGTCCGCAGCGGACCTCGCGGACGCAGCTGGCTTCCGTCCCCTCCCCCGGCCCCGTCCGGTCCGTCAGAGCCGCAGTGCCGGTCAGGTCAGCTAGGGGAGGCGGGGAGGCGGTATCAGAACAGGCTGACCCAGCGACCAGCTGTCTGTTTTGACGGCGAATGCGTCCGACCGACCCGTCACAAGGCGATGACTCAAACTACACGACCGCTTCCGGAGCTTCGGCCGCCTTCAGATCAAACAGGGACCACATCACTCAGAGTACTTCAAGTGTGACTGGGAAACAGTCGACAACCAAACACGCGTGTTGACTCAGCGGCGTAAGCCACTCATGTCGAGAACTCGCATACACTCGATGTGGTTGGGGGCGGGCTAGTGCGAAATTAGACGGCTTTTATCACACTATAGAGCGTGACGCAAAACAACACTGCGCCTGAGTATCAAGGACGATGTAGGTATGTAGGCATGCTATCCCCTGTCAATATGTCATACGAAGCATATCTCTGCGATAGCCTGCGACCTGCGTGCTTCATACCTAACCAGCAAGATTCTGCAATGACGAATCGCCAAAAGAGCAGAGATGGCAGACGAAGAAAAACGGCAACAGTGCGGTACACGTTTCAGCGTTCAGCACCTATAGGCACTACAGGTGCTCTGCGCTGATTGCAGTCGATAAGGGAATCGGTTTCCGGCGCTGTTGTGAATTATGCAATAGCTGTCACTCAGTTTCGAAACGGTGACTCACTACATAGTGACACTGACGAGAGTTGCATACAGCGTGGCCGCCGCAACGTACTACAAAGTAAAAATGCTATAGAAGTATAGAACTCTCGACCAAAAACTTTCGACTTTGGTATCAAACCAGAGAAACTATGCAATGCCCTTTCAGCCTCAAGTCCGAGCCTTTTTTATTTGCTTAGTGGGCGGCAAGAGGGAAAGGAAAATGGTCGTAACAAGTCTATGCAAACTTAGCGACTTTGTTGGAGCTTGAATTCCACCCCATACAGTGACTGGACTTTTCACTGAAAGGCAACCAAACTCCGCACGGCCCGGCATGCCGATAGCGTTATATGAGCATTGAGCGGAGACCGGGTCGACAATGCCGTAATCTGACTCTGCACGGGAAGAGTCACGAGCTGAGCGAGTGACGAACGGTGAGTCACCAGCTCGTGAGTCGTGACATGAGCTGACCTCGAGTTGGTCACCGCCGCCAACTGCCCACCGCCCAGCGAGCGCCGGTGCACCGCCCACCGTCCCCGCCAAATGTCTCCACAGAACCGTCAGGTCAGCCATCCACCAGCCACCGTCTATCAAACCAGGGACTAACAGTTCAACAGCCAGCAACCATAATACCAGCCTACAGGGTACCAGCCTGACTGTAAGTCTATCCCATTCCCACCGGCCACCGTCCATCGGTCACTGGACACGGGTCACTGCATCTCTGGCGAGCAGGCACAGGCCGCGGAGATCTTATCGAACAAGTCAAACAGGTATGCAAATTGCACCCAGCCGAGCGGCGGGCCGCTACGAAAACGAATACTACAAAACACACAGTAGTATTGTACCAAACACACAGTCACGCTACCTGATCTAGGACACGTATCGCATGATAACCTTTTCTTACTTCAATTTGTAAAAAGAACCTGCTGCTCCTATGCACAGTCCAGCAGTGAACCAGACATTTCTTTTAGGATAGGAGGACGTCAGTGCTCGTATCGAGGTCCCCCAACATCTACATGACCAACATTCGGATGACCGACTGCCGACGACCCAGTGTCCGGCGCTGGCGAAACCCTGCCTTATTATGCATACACCACACTGGCTCGTTTCGACATGGCATCCTTTCATTCAGCCGAATGGCATAGAAGCTGTGAAACTGGGACCCGTATAAACAATTACACCATTAAAGAGGCAGACATGGCACCGCTTTCGCCGCGGGTCTACCAGTTGTGAGAGGAAAACTCAGCTACCGGGTGATAAAAGTTTACAAAAGTAACGGAATTTGTGCATAGCAGCCACCGACACCGCATGGTCCTGAATTGGCAGCAGAATTGGCAACATTCAGCTTGCAATAAAATGTTAATTATTTTATCGAAACATGCTTCCATTTTAACGTATTAGATAATCTCAAAATGTAGCATTAGGTACAATAAAACTGAGCTAGCCTTTGCAATTGAGTTGACAGAGCTTCGTAAGCAAAAGAACAGCACGTTGGCAGCAATCCGCATATAGCCGACCATCACAATGACTTGGAATCACACATTCGAGCTTCAGCGGCCATCCAACGAACCATGCCCAAACTCCGTATCTCCAGCATTAGCGTGTGAACGATACCGAGCCTCAAACGGCTCGGTGGGTGGGAAAATCATGTTGGTAATCAGTACCGGCGCGAGGTTGGTGCGCCATTCATCAGATTGCTCTCCGGCGATTCGGCCAGTGACCACCCGAGCGGACAGAATGGAGGATTGGAGGATGCACGGACGTGAGCTCCAAAGAACGAACGGACGGATGGATACTGAACACAGACCACATACTCTTCAATACAGCTGAGCTGAGCTCGTTCCCAATACACATGTTATATCACAACGTCCCTCCCTCCCGTTGACGTCTCTCTAATTCCCGAAATGGCGGAGATAACAATGACCGCCTGAGGAACTCACCTGCCTGTGACGGCGTGATCTCCTCCTCCTCATCCTCCCGCTCCAGCCGTTCTCCTAGGCGACTCAGAGTCTCCTCCAGGCGAGCGGCGGCGCCCTCTGAGCCGGACGACTCGCAGTCAGAGTCAGAGTCGGAGCGACCCCCGTCCCGAGTCGGAGTCGGCTCCCGGGGACGGGCGAACTCTCCGTCACCGCCCGACTCAGGTCCATCGCTGGGTGAGGCCGGGCGGGGTCGGGCAGTAGAGCTAACGCTGGGGGCAGCGGCGGCCTTGACTCTAGCGGTTTTGGAGCTGGTGGAGGCAGCGCTGGAGCTGGCAGCAGCAGAAGTTCCTCTGGAGCCAGCGGTAGAGGTTACAGGCTGTGAGGCGGCTGCCTGACCCCCACCACTGGCGCCAGTCGCCGGAGGGTGGGTCTCCTCGTATATGTGGGAGAGCAGGGCCACCGCCTTACGACGGGAGATGGGCTTGACGCCGATTCGAGCCAGCTCGCGCTGTTGAACAGACAAAAGATGCCGTCAGATAGAAGCACTTGTAGGTCCACGATGAATTCAGCTGCTCATTGATAGGGTACCGCAATGCAAGGCACGCTATTCGTTATTTAATAAACGCGTTTTAGATATGCAAAGTCAGAACTGGAATATAATTCATAATTCATGTAAAGCAACTCACGTATTAAACATGCATCGTTCTGAAGACAACAAATAATCTAGCTCAACCATTATTCGAACTTCCTTGCTAGTGTTACTCTCCTCATCCCGTCAACATGACAAATCTACGTCATCACAATCCTCCCCACCACCCAGCAGTCCAGCCTGTCCACACCCACCAGTCCACTGCACCCACCTTCAGCTCCGGAGTCAGCATGAGCACGTAGTTGGGCCGCGGTGTGTTCGAGTCCCGCAGCACCACTCGGTACGGGTTGACCGGAGTCCGCTGCGGTGGCCGCGGCGGCGCCATGGTTGTCTCCGGAGTCCCAGCATCATCCGTCCCGCCAGACCGAGCTCCTGCCTGGCCCGACCTCCGTTCTGATGTCTCAGAGTCCCCTGGCCTCCCTACCGGAACCTCGGCTCCTCCAAGTCTGCTCACTGGGGTGTCCGATCCCGTCGACTGCACCCTGGGATCACCAGCGTTCTCCTGGTGAAACGGATGAATCCCTGAGTCCGCCCGTCGCGAGGTAGTCGTGGTCTCTGCCTCAGTCGGGGTGACGTAACCGGCCAGGAGGCTGGAGTCTCCCCAGAGCTCAGAGTTGTCCAGGGAGGAGCGAGGTCCTGCCGGCGTCTCTGCAGCTGCAGCTGCAGCGGCTGCGGGGACGGAGGCGGCAAGACGGAGAGGAGTACCCAGAGGTGGCGGCGGCGGTTCGATGAGCTCTATGTAACCACAATCCTCAAAGCCATCCCAGACGTCCGCGGGCGGTGGGTCGGACGGAGGAGATGGGGCGGGTTCGGCACTACCCTCCCGGTCACTGGCTGGCCGAGGAGGGGAGGTAGGTGAGACAGGAGACCTCTGACGAACCTCAGGTGATGGGGGGACGGGTGAGGTCCGGTCAGGTGAACGCTCGGAGGACGGAGCGGGTATCTCCGGTGAACAGGGCGGCATGACCACCGATGACGCAGCGCCGCCAGTATCGGGCCGGTCGGACTCCGCCAGAAGACGCCGGGGAGTGACGGGCGAGCCAGCTCCGTTCGCTTCCGATTCGCGTCGCTTAACGGTCGGCGGCGGTGGGGGTCGACTCTGGGAGTCGGCAGCGGGTTCCTGACGTCTGGAGATGAGCGGTGAGGAACCGAACGAGTCGTCCCGCAGCTCGGTTTGTACCCGCGGCTGGAAACGAGACGGCGAGGATTGGGGCGAGACGCCACCGACGGGAGACCGTTCCCGATCAGGTTCTGCCTGCGACTTAGATGGAGAAACTCCGCCCTGATCACCCTGATCGCCGCTTTCCAATGCTGCCTCCTTCACTGGAGAGCCGTCTTCTCCCAGTCCGCTGGAGCGACGAGGTGACTTCACTTTCTGCGTGAACACCATCGGTGCCTCGTCTAAGATCTCTATATCGGAGTCCGCCGAGACTGGGCGCGGTGGTGGCTCCTGAGACCCTGACCCGACCTTCTGTGGGGTGTTGGACGAAGAACGACGTCCTACTGGGGTGCGGGAGAAGCGAGATTCGCCCTGGTGTCGTTTGGTGCTCGGAGAGGCAAATTGGGCCTTCACTGGTGACGGAGTGGCTGGTGATGAGGTCCTCCGTCGTTTGGACAGAGACGAGAACACCTCACAGATATCATCCGGAGAGACGGGTCGGCGAGAGGGGCTGCCGGGACGCTTCTGTCCTCGTCGGGGAGTGCTGGGGGTGACGGGGTTTGAGTCTCTGCCAGATATCTTACGACTGGGCGAGGGGTTGCCCGTTTCACGCACTGGAGTCTTGTCTCTATCCGATAACGTTCTCTCTCGTCTCCTCGGGGTTCCTCCTGACCTTGCAGTACCGGGTGTACGCTTGTAGGGGGACTGGAGTCCTGTGTTAGCCCCGACCCGGCGGGGAGATTGGTTTGGTGAGCACACCACGTCACTGTCCGAGTCCCGGTGAGGTGACTGTTCTCTGTCTGACTCTGAGGCGGTGGCATGGACCGGTGAACCTTCCTCCATGTCCTCTCCACCGTCCGACGCCGTAAGGTCAAACAGCTCGGGACTGAGCGGAGGCCTGTCGATGGAAGTTTCGGCCGGCGCGGGGGACGACGGACTCTCAGTCACCTTCACCAGCTCCGCCTCCTTCACAGGCTCCGGCATCGTCACTCCGTGCTCCCGTTTGAGATAATACGCCAGCTCCAGCAGCTCAAATCTCTCAGCCAGGAGGAGGAGCTGCGGCAGCGGCGTGCTACCACCGGTGAACACAATCTCTCCTAGGTACAACAGCCGGACTAGAGCCGCGGCGGCGCGGAGGCTGACCTCCGGCAGCGACAGCCGTCCCCCTGCTTCACTCAGCTCCCGGTACAGGGGCGGGCAGCGGACAGCCATCACTGCCGCGTGCACCGGGACCGAGCCGTCCCTACAGAGGAGTGTCTCCGCCGGGGGGCCTCGACCTGTCAGTAGGAGCTCCAGTAGTGCAGCACCCAGGTCACCGGCAGGCGCTAAGAAACAACCACCGTCTGATGAGGGGGCGGGCGAGCCAGACTCGGGGGTGGACGGGATCGGCCGCGGGGAGGACCCCGGCGAGGAGTCAGCTTTCTTCGCAGTACCACCACAGCGTGGAGTAGTAGCGGTAGCAGTGGAGACGAATGTTGTGATAGATTCAGAAGATGTGATAGTATCGGCGGTTGAGGTGATGGCGGCGACTGCGGATGTCTTCTCAGCGTGGTTAGTGTCGGAGCCAGATTGCTTGCCGGTCCACTCTGTTGTGAGACTAGCACTACCAGATCCCTTCGACCTGTCATTGACCTGACCGCTGAGACGAGCTCTTCTTCTAATAACTGGTGAAGGATGGTGCGTGTTATCAGCACCAACCGAGGTGCCAATCGGGGCTGGTGATTTCTGGTGAGCATCTCCATCGGTCGTGGGATCAATTTTTAGCTCAATCCCAGCGCCTAGCGATGCACGTGGAGAGAGCGATGGGACCGTTGGCTTCAACGATGTTTCGGTGACCTCATCTTGTACTATTTCCACCTCCCCGCTAGCGAGTGCAGCCGTTTTCTGATCTTGTGATTGTTTGGTTGTTTCAGCTACCTCCGCTGACCCTCCGTCCCCTTGCTGACCTTGCTCCTTGCCTTTCTCCCCTTCAGCCTCCGCTGCGTCTTCCATCCCAACGTCCATCTTGGCCACTTCATCACTGCCTGCATCCTTCTCCGCCCCACTACCTGCCTCATCCTTAGGTACCGTCTCCCCCTTTGGGGTCACTCTCGTTGACTCCGCCGTGACCCCGAGGTCACCAGAGTCACCAGGGCTGGTCGGTGGTTCGGCTGAGTCGGCCGGCAATTGGGATGACTCGGAGTCCTCAGCGTCGCCAGCCAGTAGCAGCAGCGCCGCCTGCGTGGCTCCCAAGGCGTCCCCAGCTGCTGTGTCCATGTCTTCTGCGCCGTCGTCGTCTGGTTCCTCTTCAGGCGCCTGTCGGAGGATCGCACAGAGGAAACGTCAATAAAGGTCATCTTGAATACTATAGATCAGGGACAGCAAGTCCAGCCGTGTTGTGATGGAAATCGCACTTCCAATTGAAATAGGAGAACTCAATATCTGACACGATGCAACATAGAATCAACAAACGAGCCACGAGTACTCTTTCCATGGTAACTCACCTTTTGTGTGAGGCTTTCCCGTCCGGGTATGTCTGCGACATCTCTGAGTAGACTTGTGACGGGGGCGGTACAGGGCTCCACCAGCCCCGCCAGCTCCGGAACATAGTAGTCGCCCTGTGAGTTAGACACAGTCAAACCACACCAAAGGCAGTGACCGGGGCGGTACAGGGCTCCACCAGCCCCGCCAGCTCCGGAACATAGTAGTCACCCTGTGAATTAGATATGGAAATGACATGCTTCAATATAAGTGCTAGGAGCGGTACAGGGCCCCACCAGTCCCACTAGCTCCAGAACTAGTCGCCCTGGGATCGGAGACAGAGCCAATGATGCACACGGTGTATTCTTGACTAGCCTCGCTTGTAGGTGCAATATGTGATATCGGGCACGAGCAGCATTAACTGAAACATATCGAGTGATGGACCCCTCAACTATCTCACAGCTCGCAACGCATAACACGAACAATGACGAAAAACGACACCTGACTGCTGTCACCCTTCGTCAGCGTCTCCGTCGGCTGTTTTTCCACGATAACCTCACCTACCTCGCTGCTGTGCAGCTGTGCCGCCTTCTCCCAGGCGACCGCCGGCTGCGGCGACCCTTTCCGCGCGCGGAGGCGACGGGGCTCCACAGGAATCACCTCCTCCTGAACAGAGATACACATAGGCTCAATCAGATGTCAGACAGGGATAAAGTGGCAGAGCATGTACAATATACCTAATACCCGCTAATGAGACATGTATATTGCATACACAAACATATTGACTGAAAGGTAGGTCTGCATTTGCAATGTAAGCAGAATATACTAAACTGCACGATTTTTGTCCAACCAGAAGCTTCAGAGTTCAGACACATGCTTCGTTGGAGCACGTGCATTTCAAGATGAGTTGGTAACTCTATAAATGCTCCGGTTCCGGGGACCCTCTACCTTACTTATGTAATGGTAATTCTATAAAATGTATTATGGTTCCATGAACCCTCAGCCTTACTAACCCATGCCAGTAGTTCGGCTACCTTCTCGCACAGCCGCCGGTCCCGCTCCTCCTTGGTCTGGGTGACGAGGACAGAGGTGGCGGCGGGACCCTTCTTCCTCCCGCCCCGTCCTCGACTCCGCCCGGCAGGAGGGTCGTCTGAGGAACACGAGAGCAGCTATCACTGGGGGCAATACAACCAGCATCGAATAGCAGGCCGCAAAATCAATGAACCTCTACAAGCAAGCACAAATAAGTAAGCAGAATCATCAACGTTCATGATTCATGTTATCTATGGCAGAACTAAAAAAATCGGTATCAGTTCGCCAAATATAACCACATATCAGCATACGAGCAGCTAAGAAGCATTTACCACAAAAAGGCATCCGGAAAACAGCTACATAAAACGAAAAACAGCGACGGCTACCCGCAGTGCGTGCCAGCTGTATACGGTCAGCGCTCATTTCCCACCGGCCAGGACCTCTGACCCCTACTAACCGCTGGCGGGGGCGGGTGCGGGCGGCTCGGGCGGCACGGCGCCGCCGCTGTCCCGGACCGCCTCCAGCTCTCCCTCCAGCCCGAGCTCGACCAGCTGAGCCTCGGCCAGCCGCCGGGAGCGCTCCTGTTCGTCCCGGAGAGAGGCGGACACGGCCAGCGCCATCTGTAGTTCGGCGTCACCGTCAGCAGAGGACGCCACCGCTCCGCGACGTCGGCCCTGAGGGACGATGACATTGACATGATGTAGCTGAAGTGCGGCGGCCTACAGAAACGCATGGACAGTATGGAAGAACGACCTAATTCACAGGACTGGCAAGATCTATCACGCATATGCAATAGCTTTTGGGAGCTGTTGGATCCAATACCTAAGTTCAATACATGAAATTCGCATTCAGTAATAACAAATAGCGGCACAATTATGCTCCTTTTTCATTTGTCGTATTGACAAGCTGACCAACCATTTCCGGTCTCCCCTAAACTTCGCACTTCTGCCCCCAACAGCAGCACACATCGGACCATAGCGGCCTTTACTAACCAGCTCGTTCCCCTCCCACACCCACCTGCTGTCCGGCGCGGGTGCGGCGGGCGGCCGGCGGCGGCGCGGCGCGCGTGGCCGGCAAACCGGCCGCCGCCCTCTCCCCGGCCTGTCTCTGTTGGAGCCGGACAGCAGCCAGCAGCTGAGCCGGACTGAGACCGCGCCGCTCTCCGCATAGTTTAATGTGCGCCGTCCGAGCTGCCGCCGACGGCTGCGGCTGTAGACATACGGGACAGTCGGCCACCGTTGGCGGCGCGGCAGCGGCAGTCGTGGAGACACCCACAGCAGACACTTGGGCAGTGGAAGCCGACGGAATATCGGGGACAGATGGTAGAGGAGCAGGAGACGAGGCGTCAGAGGAGCCTGCCGCCGCAGATGCTGGAGTGTTTGAGTCTCCCGGATCAGAGGCTGGCGGCGGCGCGGACGGAGGGTCGGGAGCGCCCCTGGCAAACCGCGACAGGTCGATGGTCGGTGGTCTGGCCGGTTCTGAACCGTCCGGAGGCGGAGACCCTTCCGAACCCGTGACGGAAGACTGCCGTGAGGAGCGGGTCGAACGGGAGCTTTTAGTGGAGGCTCTGGTCGCACGACGGGCCCTCCCACCCCGTCCCGCCGCGGCGGATGACCCACGGCCACTACCTCCAGGCTTCTGTCCACCGGGCGGTTTGACGTCACTGGGCGGCGGTTTGACATCACTATCCGTCCCTCTGACGTCACTATCCGTCTCCCTGACGTCACTGGCCCGCGGGAAGAGGTCGCCGGCCGCCCTCTGTGCCACGGTGTCGAGCACGCCGCAGAAGGAGACGGCCGACACCGTTATCTCCCCTGACAGCCGCTGGGACTGAGTGCTGGATGGCTCGGCCGCGCACGACGACTGGGAGAGCGTGGACCGGGTCCGGGACCTGGGCAAAAGACAGTGTGTCGGTCACAATGTATTAGCACAACAGAGCTCAGTTTCACAAACAATAACACTGCATACTAGCAGCTCAATTGCACGTTGGTATTCAATAGTTTTTATATCTGCATGGCGAACCGAACTTCATCGCACGGAACCAGTAAAAATATTCCTAGCACAGCAGCTGCGACAAAGTATCTATTTACTCAAAAGCGCCTCTTTCTTAATGCTGAATGCTGAACTAGACAGCTTCATCAACAGCAATGCTCACAAATCTACTCTACTCAGACATTCAACCCCCCCCCCCAGTTCAATTACCGAGCGAAGGAGAGACTGGGCGTGAAGTCGTCGCTCGTGTCCAGGTCGGGCGGCTCCGGGGCCGAGGTGGGCGGCTGGCGGCCGCTCCTGCCGGCCCGCCGACTCAGTTTGCTGACCCGTTGACTGGACTGAGACATGGCCGGTCCGTAATACACCCCGTGTCACGGCAGTTAGACCGTGCTGCTGTCCAGTGGATACAGATACTCAGTGGAGGGTACCTCCAGAAACACTCACACACGGGCACTGCGGTCCCTCAGTCCACTGTTCTGTCTTTGTCACAGTGTGACACGGACACTGTCACACACAATTCGTTCACACTACCACTGTACTCTGGAGCCGGATACTGTCCCTTTACACTGCAGTAAAGGAACTACGCAAACCGGTGGTGCTCCCTGTCGTAGTCTTCATCGGTTTTGACCTTTTGACTTGGCCGTACCGGCAGCAATTTCCGCATCTTCATCTCATTCAATATCTGAAAAAAATGTACACGAGATTGATGACTGTCCCATTTTTTTTTAGATCAAGTCAAAACAGCAAAAAAATCATGGCCAGCACAGAACAAATATGTGAAAACCACTCTGTCATAACCGAAGGTTTGTTGTCAATAGTTAAAACACTATTCGTTAGAATTGTGTTTTTCTATTGAAAAACAAATCTGAGTTCCCTGACAATTTGGCAAAAGCTGCCTGAGATCATAAGCAGTGTCCACTTGATGTGTAAATGTCAAATGAATTGACACAAATCAATAGCCACAATACAGATTTGAAAATGAAACAAACATCCCAACTGCTCCAATGATTCCCTGACCAGCAAAATAAACAGTATGGAGGTAAAATTACCTTATGTTCTTCCTCAGTAAAGTTGCTAGCAGTATTCTGAACTTTTTCTTTCCTATCGTCAGAAAGTGATATGTACCTGAAAAATATCATTGGTAAGTTATACTACATCAAAATGTGTTGTATGATTGGACAATAAACACATATGTAATGCATATGCAACAGACAGAAATTCTTGACATTCCATTTTGAAGTAACAAACAAACAAACAAACAAACAAGCAAACAGACAAACAAACAAACAAACAAACCAACAAGCAAACAAACAGTGATACTGAAACAGAAATGTGAGAAACTTTAGCTCTAAGCCAGAGCCTAGGTGTTATAGTGCAAACCAGGTGCTGAAAGAGGTTTAAAATAAAAACATACATGTGAAATGGAAATGCAGTATTTCTCATAAACTTTTTTGGCTCTTGGCATTGACCCATCATATTTTCATATTGTATCTAAAAGAATCATGACAAATGTTTATTGAGTACCTTTGAAAAAGTATTGTTCACATGAAGTAGGTTATAGGTATGTCAAGTATATGCACAAACAGGGACAAAACAATAAATATTAAATAGGATATGTTCTTACAGAGCTGCACCAACCAGTAGTGAGGATCCCACTAGTCCAAACGCTACTTGAGTAGATAGCCTTGCCAGTGGTGTGCCTGCTATAGTTTTAGGCTTCTGCTTCCACTGTGGCCAGGACATGACTTTACAGCCGCCTTACCCAGTGTTCACCCTGGGGGATAAAAAGCACAAACAATCAAAATCAACTACTAGCCTAGCACCTAAAATGATGTCTTGTTCTGGTCTGATTTACCATTATCCTATTTCGCTAGTCCAGAATACTATTCAATTTCCTAGTTTTTACAAACACACTGCCAGCGACCAGGCCAGGCTATTGGATAATGGATTTTATTTAAATCTCATAGGTGAAATTCATACCAATCAGCAAATGAATGACAGACCAAGAAATGTTAAAAAAACATATTTCATATGACAACAGAACTTGCAGCAATCAGCATGGTGATAAAAGCCTGACAGAGGACATCTGACATCAATAATGCTACACTGCATTATTCTCTTTCAATAGTGTGTTTGTAAAACAGCAATAAAAGAAAAATTAAGCAATTGATGCAAAATGTGGGAAACTAATGCACAATCAAGCTGATCCAGAAAGCAAGTGTGGCAACTGACTACTGAGTCAACAAGCCGCACCATGTTGGATCGGTAACAAATCCAATCTGAATCAGTCACCAGCCCACACCAACCAGCCCATAGGCGGCGGAACAGGAAGAGCACCGTGGCACCAGGCATGCCCCTTTTGATTTTGGAATTTTAACATTAGCCCTATGGGTGTTGCATGGAAACCCGACTGGAAAAAATGCCTCCACTACGGTGAAGTTCTCGGCGGAGGTGATGCGCCGAAATTTTGGCGCAAGGGTTTATGCGCCGAAATTATTTTACCAAGCCATGCTTCATGCGCCGAAAATTTTCAAGGCTTACTGATGGCTGCAGGCTGTAGCCACGCACTTTTCGTCGAGGGGGGGGGGGGCTGGCATGTGTGTGTAGCTGTCTTCCAGTGACTACTGTCTACAGACGGTTGTTGGCACGGTCGACGGGATCGGGCAGACAATAGACATCAGCAGGCCATGCGGGACCGAGCACCAGCGTTCGCTATCACAAAAGCTCCTGACTCACAAACTCACTGGCATGTTCCATAACGTAACCTTTATTTTGTTGCCCGGCTCTGATCAGCAGTATGTACCCAGCCGGTGACTGACGCCTGACGGGGCCTTCAACAGGCGTGGTGCAAGCACGGCCGATGGGATCGGGCAGATACCAGGCCACGCGGGACCGATTGCCAGCGTCCGCTCGCAAACCACACGCCGGAAATACAGGAATCACAATGGTCAATACGCAAACGATAGCATACGTTATCTGAACTAGGGGATCCGACAATCCATAACCTCACTCTCGATCGGTGAACTGTTCCCGTCGTGGGAGAGTCGCAATCAGGTTCACTGAACATGACTTAAATACCCTGAGACGAACACGAGACAAGATAAGTGATATTTAAGATGTTTAACTCCCGAAGACATTTAACCCTCGCCGGCCGAGGGGTTGGTGCCACCCCCTGACGGGTTTTTCGCGACTGCTCCGGAGCCGTTTGCGATAGAGGGATATAGAAAACCGTCGATTTACGCCGAAGTACGCCGAAAATTTCGGCGCAAGCCGTCGATTTACGCCAAAGTACGCCGAAAAATTTCGGCGCAAACGCCCAACTACGCTCGAGTTCTCGACAAAAGCGTGCATTTTTTCCAGTCGGGCATGGAAAGAATGGGACCAAAAGTTGGGAGTGCCCCCCTTAACCCTCGCCGGGCGAGGGTCTGCACTATAGGGAAATCTGCACTATATGCACAGCATGCAGTTGTGATAAAAATCAGTAAAAATAATAAAAAAACTAACATGCCAAACATTTCGCAAATGTGACATTTGCGGCGCAGAGGGACGTCATAACTATTTTAGAAAATCAATGAAATTATCCATTTGTAATGAAAAAAACACATGATTTATCACCCAGCATCATACGCACTTATTTTGTAGCATAAGCAGTTAGTTGAGTTAGTTATATTTCATCTAAAATGACTAAATATATCCAAGCACGGAAAAACTCTGACCCGCAAGAAATGTCAACACAACAAGGACGCGGACATGTTGAAACCCAGGAGCTATAGATATCAATTTAACCTGTGGTGATTGACTCAATTTTTGCGATCCTGTTTTAAATATTGAATTTAATAAGAAATCATAAAAACAAAAATAGTTTCTTTACATCTCAAGCAATTATCTTCTATTCGCGCTCTTGCTTTTGAATAAAAGGTTTTGATAAATTTATTAATTCTGTAGGAGATTACATAGGTTATCACCTAATTTGTGCAATCTTCACTAAAAAACTTAAAATTTGCTTCACAGTTCACCGTCAGCTCAACAAATCAGAGTGTAGGTATATATTATAAAACATCAAACTAATTGCTTTTAGAAAAGGTATTAAAATTGCAGGATTAGCCCTCGCACTTTGCACGTGCACCTATAAGCGGAGGCCGGGTCAAACGGAGGGGTGCAGTTATTTTTTTACATCTTAGTTTTTGTTTATGCGTTTTTAGACGTTTCTCGGCGCACTGTTGTTGAAGTTATACAGGCCTATTTTAAAGCTATTTTTTATTCACAAAACTGCTGCAACTTTCAGAACTTTTTTTTGCATATTGACATTTTGATGGAATTGGAATGCATTAAAATATTTTTATTCTTAAATCTTGAATGCCAATATAATAACAATGTGAATCGAGCCACGCTCGTAGCGAAATATTACGAATCAATGATAACAGTAACCGGCAGAAAATATGTAGTTACCGCGATTGTACAAGATAATAGTATATGTTCCGCGTGAAATTGACAGGAGATACCACAAGAATAATAGCCTAAACAAGTATTGAAATAACTGAAAGCTCATAATACCCGCTTAGCACTGCTAACGCTGACCATTTTCTTCGAACATTAAAATGCTTACCATACCATAACATCTGAAGATAATGAGCTTGAACCTCGAAAAGCAAGTTGTCCAGTTTCAGTCTCAGTTTGTGCGGTACTGGGACACATTCATTATCAGTGAATCAAATAAAAATTGTCCGGGGCATCATGCTGTGATTAGATGAACCAGTTAATATGTATAAAATCTAGTTATTGGCCAAACGTAACGGCCACGGACCGTGGGTTGACGACCCCGAAATGTAGCGAAATGAAGAATAGGTTCAAGCAGTTTAAATAATGCTGGTGCGTAGAGTTGAATAGTGATGTAAATGTGGCCACAGTCTACAAACACGATAACAAATATCGATTGCGCTTCGCTCAACCAGAGCCATGCTCGTTCTTGCTCATGAAACAGTGCATCCCCATAAAATGAAAAGTCTGAACGAATGCATTCAGGTTCCTACCTCTGAATCACTTTATATTGAGATCCGTTTCTTAACAGGAACACAAACGCGGCCCATCAATTTGTCAGTACTAAGGCAACAGCGTCTGACAAGTGACAACGCATCAAATGGCTAACTTCTGACACTATCTACCAATACGGTAACGGCAATAAAATTGCATTGCAAAATGCAAATAGAATTGCACGATTTCCAAGCGCAGCTTGAAACCAAGTGCGACCAGCTAGTGTCATTTTCACAACCAAGTGCGACCAGTTAGTGTCTCGAGACACATTCCAACTGCATAGGTACCGCAGTAACCCATTAGGGGCGAAAGGAAACACATGACTTGTGTACGACCAGCGTTCTGTCAGCGTACGACACATAAAGCAAACTGCTCAAACAACTGCGGTCCCGAACAACACAACACAGAGCTCCGAAACGAATGGTTTACAAAAGTCTACGACTGACGACATCGAAACAGTACGTTCATCGGGACTAGTCACATGACTCGCTCAACCCAGCTGGGTTATGGGTACTAATTGCGCTTCAAATTGACCTCTGACAGCCATTTACTTACGCTAGTTTGATGCCTAAAACTGTACATTGAAACTCAAGCGGCAACACATAGGTCTCCATCAAGGTGGTTATATACAACAGAGCACCTCGCTAAAACGAGCGCGAGCGCACGTTTTGAAAAAACCGCACTGACACACTAAACCGCACTGTCACACTGACAGAACACTGAGCCGCGAGTCGTGACAGTCGCACTGGCCATATGCACGCAGATGTCGCACTCACGGCACTGTTGCTGGCATTGCGCTGCGGGTGGACACGCGCGGTGCAGTAGCTCCACGGTGTGCGGCTCACCGGAGGGATTACCAGTCTCCGACCGGACAGTCCAGGCGGGAAATGCGGTGTCTTCAATCATGACCGCCGTCCCCGTCTCCGCGGAGTGCCGCACGGCGGCGACACGGCGGCGTCGGATCTTGAGCTGGTGGACACTGGACTCCTGCCAGAGCTACCAGCTTCAGCCCTTCAGCATCCTGTCATCAACAAACTCCAGCAGAGCTCCAATGCAACTGGGAAAATAAAATTTATGCTGTTAAGCTAAATCATGCAAAACATTTCCTTGCACAGGATTCTCTTGCGCAGTTCAGCAAAATCTTCTGTGATATCCATGGCCGTGACAAGAGGACTTGATGCCATTGTAAAAAATATAGGTTCATTGGTTCTCATTTACCCACATCAAACCTCTATAGGTACCATTCACTTGTATATCATGATGTATGTTAACTACACAATATTTATGCAATAGACTGACATGAACTATGTAGGAATGGCAAGAGAGATGGGTAAATAGGCCAAATAGGTTGCAGGATTTATTGGCACCAAACAGGTCAGAAAGTAGAAGTTCAAACAATCTTACAAACTACACCAGAGAAAGGCTTTGAATTAGGTACAAAATCATGCCACAGAAATAAAAACACTGCAGTTTTGTAGAGCATTTCCCAAAAGATAATTGTGATTCAGCCTTGCTCCCATTCTGAGATTGAATAAATACAAATTATGAGGTGAAAGTTACTAAAGAGCAGTTTTTTTAACAGCTTCAATCCATGTTTGCCTGATTTCAAACTCAAGGCAACATCTCATAGCATTGACAGCATGAAATTTCATTACTGAGGTTACAATTTCCATAATCAATTGTCACAGACATTGCACTTTAATATGGATAACTAAAACCAAATCAGCCAGCCTTGTATCTTTATCTGGTGAAACTGATGAAACCAACAAAGCAAACAATTTCTGGGCAAAACATTTAGGTATTTGACAAGCTCAAGCACTAGCCACTGGAGCAGTATGTATGATGGGGTCTCGTAACTTTAACATTCAGTCTGTAAGAGCATGCCTGACTTGACTTAATGGCTTTGAGGCATCACAAAGACTTTTGCAGCAGCTCCTATTCTTTTTTAACTTAAACTTAAATTATCATCACCATGCTATGATGATGAGGTGGCTGGTTTCGGACACATGAAAAGTAGCAGCCCTTCTTCCATTCTATTTCCTTGTTTTCACAAGCTGCACAAAATGTTTTTTCTTCCACGTTCCTTCTGTCTTTATAAAAAATAATAGGTAACATAATTGCTTCACTTCTTCTTTATATTCCAAGTATTGCTGCTGCAATCCATCACATCTCCCGTTAGTAAACCATTGCCCTATGGCCGCTAAAGTAAATAAGTGGAATGCGCCAGAAATTGTCGAAATCGCGCCAAAATAGCAAACTAAGATGAGAAAAAATAACCGCACCCAAACGGAGCCCCTCGATTTTTCACAAATAACTTTCGCCGATCGCGACGTAACTTTGCTGGCGATAAGGTTTATTTCGACACGGCAGTAGAGACAAGCTTTCAACTATTAACCCGCGCTGCTCCAAGATTCCGCGCCGGGCCGGGGGAGGGGGTATCTGAACACCCCCCCCCTTCTAACTCGGCTCCTGGGCCACGTAGTGACACGCGGTAAGCGGCAGCCGGCAATCGAAAGAACGTCCAAAATAAGGACGAAAACACTTCAGTCATTTTTTGGGTCAGGTCAAAGGTCAGGTCACCAGAGGTCGCCAAAAGTAAAATGTTGACTATTTCAACATTTTGGAAACTGCCGACAGCTATCTCGGGAACCGATAAAGCTACAGCGCCGCGGAAAAGGGCATTGGATAGCCCTTTACAGAGCTTGCTGAATATGTTCTCAGATTTGACCTCAGGTGAACGGTTTAGCCTCCAGAGAGCAAAAACTGTAAAAATAGCCGTTTTCAAGAAAAATGTTTTTCGGCAATAACTTTTGACTCAAGAGAGCCACGACATTACTTTGGCAGCATCGTGTTCCTCTCGTCGAGACGCGTCGAATGAACTATTTGCTGTCCTTGAAAGGTCATTTTGAAGATTTGACCCCAGGTCAAGGTCATGATCTGACCGGAAAAGGTCATGTTACATATCAGTCGATCCGTATCGTCAATCTGAACACATCTGACGTGTTTTCTTCACTCTAGCACGTCTCTATCAAAAGTTATAGCAAAAAAAAAAACTCATGTTGACCGCTTATGACCTGAGATGACCTCAGGGGCATACAGAGAGGTCACAGCCCACAGGTGCATTTTTCCGATTCAGTGTGTCATGTTTACGTGTGACCATGTGAACCGATGTTTGAGAGCGTTTTGAACGTCATTCGTCCCAAAGATGTGCATTTTAACCCGCGAGCTGCTGTGGGGGGGGGGGGCGTTAAACGCCCCCACTTTTTTCGCCGGGCCATAGCATAAAAACGGCGCGCTGCAGGCGCGCCAAATGTTGGGTACCTGTAGGGAATTGATTGAAGTTTATTGTGTGACAAAGTTTTAAAAAAAAATCGGTCGGAAAAGTTTTGAGATATCGAGGTTTTAGTGACGTCATGATTTCTGAGTTTTCGACCAAAAACGGCATACCTATGTTCAAAAAATCATATAACATCACAGAATAGACATACAGACATGCCGTAAACGCCATTAGACTGCCAATACCATGAACAATCAAATGGATATCTTCGATTATTGATTATCGTTCCACATTTTCCAAAATCTTGAACTGAATCTTGGCAATTTCTCGTGACTACTTCACGACCATGATACATGCATTTCTTAAATTGAACTTTTTGAGCCAAATACGTACACATATGGTAAAATGAATGTCACCATTGTGTTCTACGCCCCAAATTACCCATAAAACATGTGT